AAACATATGCAAAGGTAATCTACAAATAATAAACAAGGAATACTTTATTTGATAAAAATGAATGTTATCCATAAAGTATGAAGTATGTCTACAAATCATTAACATGTAAAAAATTATAAAATAAATAGCAAAGGGTTATAAATACCTAAGAAAAATGTAAATGAACAATAAACAATAAAAGATATTCAACTTTACAAATAACCCAAGAAATAGCAATTAAAATAATTTTTGCTTATTTGATGGCAATGACTATTAAATTCCTAATTCAGATGAATGAAACTATTCTACGGCAGTAAAATATAGACTGGAACAAATTTATGAAAAGTTCAAAATCATTTTGCGTCTTTTCTTTAATTTTTAAAATAATTAACCAACCCAGGGCTGGAGCTATATATAGCTCAGTGGTAGAGCATTTGCCTAGCACATGTGAGGCACTAGGTTTGATCCTCAGCACACATATAAAAAGATAGACAGATAAAAGAAATGAAGTTATTGTGTTCATTTACAACTAAAAAAATATTTTTTAAAAATAATAATTAACTAACCTGAGCCACTCTAATTGAATTCTGGGTAGAGCCACCAGCATGATATTCGACTTTGAATTTTTTTACCAGTTCATCAAACCTATGAGGAAAACACAGTATGAAAAAAAAATGTGAGCATATTTCAATGTCACAATGCGAAATTTTCTGATTAAAGTACATTAAAATAAAATTAGTGAAATTATGAATTATATACTAAATAAATGAACTAAGGTCTCATATGGCAAACAAGCTAAATTTCCATATTTAAGAAATATTCCTATAAATATACAACTACAAGAATTTAAATATATAGAGTACTGTAATTAACCATTACATGAAACAGAAAGTAAAAATAAAATTCATATACTGCCAAACAAAATGAGTCAAAATCAGATTCCACTCTCAGAAATACTTATAAACATACAGAAATCTCTTTCCTCATTCCACATTACTATGAGAGTTTTCTATAGAAACCAAAATTTCACTAATTAATGCAACCCCTGGAATCAGTGTAAGAGGCATAAAAATTAAAACCTATACTTCAAGAGATGATGAAACATTTTGCTTCCTCTTCTATACATTTTACTAACGATAAGAAAATTTGTGTGTGTGTGTGTGTCACAATTTGATTTTAAAAAATACACACACAAAATTAACCAAAGCATATCAGCCTTGCAAAGTAAGGAAAGATGCCACAAACAGACTGCAAATTTGAAAAATAACATATTCTAGTACAAAAAAAAAAAACCCCAAATACAATAAAATTGAGGAAGTATTGCTAGGAGACACAACAAAGCAAGACAAAATACATTAAATAAACACTCTATTTAGAAAACTAGGGTGGTTGCCCAACTACTTCCACCTTACTCAGAGGAGTAAAATTTAAGCATATCAATGTCTTGGTAAAGACCTTCCTATTTTGACAAGTATATAAATTCCAAGACTACCAACCTCTTTGCTCTTCATTTTTCTCTCTCCTTCCCTTTCTTTTCGTTCCACAGTTTTTAAAAAATATATTCACACACCATACAATTCATCCACCTAAAATGTGCACTCCAACATTACTACAGCCAACTTTATTTCTACTTATTTACTTGGTACCAGGGACTGAATCTAGGGGTGCTTAACCCGTGAGTCACATCCCATCCCTTTTTCATTTTGAGACAGGATCTTGCTACATTGCTTAGGGCCTAGCTAAGTTGCTACGGTTGGCTTTGAAATTGCTATCCTCCTGCCTCAACCTCCCCAGCTGCTGCGATTATAGGTGTGCACCTCTGCACCTGGTACCACAACCAACTTTAGAACAAAACATAAAGCTTTTCTATATAAAAGCAAAACCAAACAAAAATTTAACTGTAATAAAAAGAGAATGTTTAAAAACAAAAA